TCAGCCATTTTCTCCAGGGGAGCTGATCTCATGTCAGCTGGGGATCAGTTGTGAAAGCGGGGGGGTCTCCAGTTTGGTGTAGTGGTTAAGTGTGCGGACTCTAATCTGGGAGAACCGGGTTTGATTCCCCTCTCCTCCACTTGCACCTGCTGATGTGACCTTGGGTCAGTCACAAGCTCTGGCACAGCTGTTCTTGAAAAAAAGAGCAGTTTCTGTCAAGAGTTCTCTCAGCCCCACCCACCTCACAGGGTGTCTGTTGTGGGGAGGGGAAGGGAAAGGAGTTTGTAAGCCGCTCTGAGACTACTTTGGGTAGTGAAGGGCGGGGTATAAATCCAATCTCTTCCTCTTCTTCTTCTTCTTCTTCTTCTTCTTCTTCCAGGCCCCACCTGGAGGCTGGCAACCCTCCCCTTTCCCCTTCCCCCTTCCCTCCCCCTGCCGCCCAGTTCTGTCACTCTGCCCTGAAAGGGTCCCTCTCTGTCATTGCAGGTGCCCTTGGAGGAGGCAGCCGGGAGTGTCTCTGAAGCGGACCGGGCTCCGTCCGGGAGTGAAGGGAGGCATCCCTTGCTGGCTATCAAGGAAGAGGAGGACGCAGAGCCCAGCCTGGTTGGTAAGGAGGGAGGGAGGCCTTCTGGGGCCTGACACTGAGGGGGCCTGGAAGTGCCTTCTGGGGCTGAGCCAGACCTGCAGAGAAATACAAAGAGATTTTAGAAGATGGGAGGGAAGTGAAATCCAGTTTTTCAAAAACCCGACGAGGCTCTTCTGCAAGAGAAATGGGCTTTTGGGCAGATGGCTCATGATCCCTGCAGCGAAAAGGGCCAGAAAGTGAGTGCCTCTGTTTCTCCAAATGTGTGCTGTTTCGGCTTGCCAACTCCAGCTTGAGAAATCAGTGTAGGTTTTTTTTTGGGGGGGTGCCTGGGAAGGGCAGAGGTTGAGGAAAGAGAGATGCCACGGAGGCAGCTCTCCCAAGCACCCATTTCCTCCCGGGCTCTTTTTGTAGAAACAGCCCAGCAGGAGCTCATTAATATAATAGGCCACACCCAACAGCAGAAACTCATTAGCATAATAGGCCACACCCCTGACAGCACAGCTCATTGGCACATTAGGCCACACCCCCATGTTACCAGAAGTGTGCTCATCCAGCCACACCCACCTTTCTCTTCTTATTCTGTTTACCTTGTTTGTTGTCAAAACCCAGGGCTTTTTTTGTAGCAGGAACTCCTTTGCATGTTAGGCCACACACCCCTAACGTAGCCAATCCTAATGAGTGTCTGCTGTTGGGTGTGGCCTATTATGCTAATGAGTTCCTGCTGGGCGTGGCCAACTTGGGAGCCAGCCGGAACTCCGTTACTGTGCGTTCCTGCCCAAAAATAGCCCTGTTTGCGATGATCCGAAGCCAGAATAGCCGTAGAACCGATGTTGCACCCTACCAAATATCCATATACAATAACGTGCAGTTGCAGGTCCCAGTGAGGCTGTGATTTATGATCATGTTTGGTGTTCAGCCGTGAATATCAGAGAAGGAAAGGAGGCATGGCATGTCTAGTATGAGGGTGGAGGAAGGATCCCCCCCCCCCAATTTCTTTTTAAAACAAATATAAGAACATAAGAAGAGCCCTGCTGGATGAGACCAATAGTCCCTCTGACCACTTGTAGACTCTGTCCTCTCACACAGCAACCTCAGTGAATGCTCCTGAGTAGTTTAGCAGTTTAGGTAAAGGTTTCCCTTGCTTGAAAGACAGTCGAATCTGACTCTAGGGTTGCGGTGCTCATCTCCGTTTCCAAGCCGAAGAGCCAGCGCTGTCCGAAGACGCTTCCGTGGTCATGTGGCCAGCATGACTAAACGCCGAGGCGCACGGGACGCTGTTGCCTTCCCGACGATGCAGTACCTGTTTATCTACTTGCAATTTCTTGCTTCCGAACTGCTAGGTTGGCAGGAGCTGGGGCCAGAGACGGGCGCTCACTCCATCAAGTGGCGCTAGGGTCTCAAACGGCTAAATTACCGACCTTCTGGTCTGCCATTCAGTGTCTTAACCTCTGAGCCACCATGGCCCTGTTTAGCAGTTTAGAAACTACTTTCCCCATAGAAAAGAGCATAAGTTCAGTAGCACCTTAAAGACTAACAAAATTCGGCTGCTGTTTTCAAATACCATTGGACCAATGTTTCTGTATCTATGGATTGCTTACACCAGACGACTTACTCCATTATATCTTATTTTGCTTGTTATATACTAACTGCAGGGTTAAATTTTTGTCAGGAATTCTATCTGCCATAAACTCATATTTTGTAGTCCAGAAGATTGTATTCCTGCTATCTCATAATGATGCATATGTATCCTACAGAGTCTCTCTGCTTGCCTTTGTGGCAAAGAAGTTAAGGTCTGAGAGGGTATTGTTTTTTTTAAAAAAATAATATTTATTAATTTTAAATTAATGTATAATACAGCGTAATACAGTGCATCCATCTGCAAGAATGTCATCTAAATGGAAAAAGTCGAAACCTACAAGGTTAACCACTTCAGATAAAGAGGGTTAGGGGGGAGAATATCTAGAATCTGTAAGTAGGAGACTACCGGGAACCAAGTTGATACAAATGTGGAGTGGTGTGGGGTATCTGGTTGTGCACACCTGAGCGAATCAGCGATTTTTGCCATGACAAGGTGTTCCCATCGCTTGTGCTGCCAGTCTGTCACTGATAGTGCAGCTGGAGATTTCCAGTGTGCAGCAATGGCCAGGCAGGCTATCGCGAATAGAGTTGATATGAGTTCTTTTTTATGATCTTGAATAGAATCATCCCAGTGATTTAACAGAAAGGATTCAGGCGAGAGAGAGAAATTGTTTAGGGTATTGTTGAGGGTGGTTTCTAGAAAGTGTAGTCTGTTAAGTTTTAGTCTGTTTTAATCACAGATTTTTATATTCTACTTGACGGTTATATTTATCACTGCATTTTGTGGCTTCTCAGCTTGTAATGGCCTGTGGCTGTATACAATAAACTATTTGACTGATTGACTGACTGGCTGGCTGACTGACTAACAACAGTTACAGCAGAGGATGAGCTTTCGTAAGTCCCTGCTCATTTGGGCTCTTTTTGTAGCAGGTACTCATTTGCATATTAAGTGACATACCCCTAATGTAGCCAATCCTCCAAGAGCTTACAGTAGCTCCTGTAAGAAGAGCTCTGTAAGCTCTTGGAGGATTTGGCTACATTAGGGGTGTGTGGCCTAATATGCAAAGAAGTTCCTGCTACAAAAAGAGCCTGACTCACAAAAGCTCCTCCCCTGCCACAAATCCTGTTAGTCTTTCAGGTGCTCCTGGACTCTTGCTCTTTTCTGCTGCTACAGACAGACTAACACGGTGACCCATCTCGATCTAACTTATTTTCCCAGCAGCTCTCTCCTGGGTTCTTTCTCCCAGCCCAGCTGGCTAAGTTCTGAATGATTCCCATTTAGGGAAGAGAAAGGGAAAAGGAAGAGGGGAAAAGGAAGGAAAAGGAGAATGCATATCATAGGTCATGGCTGGGCAGAAAGGGTGACCAGCCACACACTTGTCGTAGGCAACAGGTTCTGACGAAGGCAACAAAATACGCACAGATCAGTTAGGAAGGACTGGTTTGAGACTTGGCGTCTTGCCTTTGAGACTTGGCTTCTTTGCCTTTTTTCAAGCAGGTGATATGCAGGGGAATGAAAACGATGTGGGACTCCAGGCACTGTTGTTGAAACAATGCAAGAATGAAGACTTTAAGGGAAACTCCAGGAAGCGAGATGGACAACAGAGGCAGGAGAGAAGCCACCTGGTGGAGAGGAAGGGTCACCCTATTCTTTGCCAAGGACAGGAAATCCAGGAAATCCCAGTGCAGGAAGAAAAGGCAGCCCAAAAGAGAAAGAACAGAGGCATCCGTGCTGACCTGAGAATCCACACAGGGGAATATCAAAACAAAGGCATGGAGTTTGGAAAGAGTATCAGTCAGGGCATGGATCTGATTTCATATCAACAAACTCACTCACTAGAAAAACCGTATCATTGCTCAGTGTGCGGAGAGAGTTTCAGTCGGAGAACGATTCTTGCTTCCCACCAAAAAATTCACACGAGGGAAGAGCCCCCAAAAGACCCAGAGTGTGAAAACAGGCACAGTGGAAGACCATACCATCACAAGCATCAGATAATCCACACAGATAATCCGTATCAATGCTCAGAAGTTGAAAAGAACTTTAGCCACCTTACTGCGCAACGAAGAACACATACAGCGGAGAGACGGTATCAATGCTCAGTGTGTGGGAACAGGTTTAGGAGAGCATCACACCTTCAGCAGCATCAGACTATTCACACAGGGGAGAAACCACATCAGTGCTCCGAGTGTGGGAAGAAGTTTACTCGGGCATCATCCTTGCGGCAGCATCAGAGAATCCACACGGGCGAGAAGCCTTACGAGTGCTCTGAATGCGGACAGAGATTCTGCTTCAATTCCCACCTTCAGCGGCATCAGACAATCCACACAGTGGAGAAACCATACCAGTGCTCAGAGTGTGCAAAGACCTTCTGTCACCGCATAAGCCTCACTGTGCATCAGAGAATCCACACGGGGGAGAGACCGTACAAATGCTCCGTGTGCGGGAAGAGGTTTAGCCATTCATCATACTTGCACAAGCATCACAGAATTCATACGGGGGAGAAACCTTATGACTGCGCCGAGTGCGGAAAGAGATTCAGTTTCAGGTCCCGCCTGCAGCGGCATCAACAGATCCATGTGCCAAAAACCGGGTAGCTGATCAGTTTGCAGCGAGGGCTCTTTCTGGCAAATCAAAATCGGTGCAGACAGAATAAAAAAATATCAGACCCCAAAATATCAACAGTGTAGCAACTTGTAAATGCAATGAATAATGTCTATTTGAAGTGCATACAAAATACAGTTTCAATATGTCATAAAGAGAATTCTTTTTATGCAATGAATAATATCTGAAATGTATACAATTCACAATCATACAAAATATGGTTCCAATAAATCATAAGAAAAATCCTATTCAACGTCATTTCCAGATTGTTTTCAGTGTTTCAAATGGAATTCTTCCTCAGGAAATATCTAAATATTAAAATATATATATTAAACTTCAAAAACAGAAGGCTGTAAGCCATCAAAGATTTACTCAAGTTCCAATAATTATACAGAGCAGTAACCTTCAAGCTCTTATGATTATGTCTGTTTTCAGCAAGAGCAATCTGTGTTTAAAAAATAAAAATGTAAATACCCACTCTGAACAATAACACAGATGCAGCTTTTAAAACAAATTTCACACTTACAACCAATCAGCCGGGCGCAGATCACAATATTTTCCTAAAGCGAATATCACAGGACTATCTGTCTGGATCAAAAAAAAATACCTCTACTCTTTGGCTTATCATACTCATAATTAAAGGAGCTGCATTAATTATTTACAGCTGTTATGCAAACACTGACTTAAAGGGACAGTATACACAAAAATTATTTATAGAAAGCATCTGAGGTCCATTGACTGATTCAAGCCTCTTGGATATAGGAAGTCCAGTTTATGTGTCCAAAACATTTTGTGCTGAAGTAAGCAACATTGAAGGTTGATTCTCTCCCCTTTTCTGTGTTGGACAACTTCCAGAACAGTATACCTAAAGTTGTCATATGTATGATTGGCTTGTCTAAAATGTTGAGTCAGAGGAGTTTCCAAATTCTGGTATTTAAGTCTTGATTTATGCTCTGCAATTCTTGTTCTCCCTGTCCTAGACGTAGAACCCACATAAACTTTTTAACATTCACAAATTATATTACATTTTTTTGTTGCGCAGGTACTAAAATTTGTCAATTTCACTTTGTAGTTTGCCAGTATAAGTTCATCTGTTTCACACAATTGTTTGCAGCTATTGCAATTATGGCACTTGTAGTGTCCCTTAATATCCAGAGTATTGTCTTCTCTTCTGTCCAAATTAGTATGTATTAATAAGTCTTTGAAATTTCTGGACCTTCTAAAGCCTATATTTGGTCTATCTATACATCCCGGGATCAATGTTTAAGCTGTGAAGTCTTGTGAGCAAAAATTCTACTTTGTGAGCTACTGGCATTAAAGTGGTGAGCAAGCAATTTGGCTACTGCATAAATTAGTTTGCTCTAGAGCCATCCTTCCTGAGCTGAGACAAAAATGTGTGAGCTGGAGGCTAAAAAACTGTGAGCTAGCTCACTCTAACTCAGCTTAGAGGGAACACTGCCCGGGATGTCTCTTAATATATGCCAGTGTTTGAGGACTACATTCTGCATTGCTACAGGGGTATAGTCCAATGCCCCCAAAATACCTCCATTTCTTTTATTCTTCCGGCTATTTATATTCAGTAGAGATTCCCTACTGACACTTGTCGCTCTTAAAAATGCTACATTCTTAATCTGCATTGCTAAAGGGGTATAGTCCAATGCCCCCAGAATACCTCCATTTCTTTTATTCTTCCTATTTATATTCAGTAGAGATTCCCTACTGACACTTGTCGCTCTTAAAAATGCACTACAAGTCATTGACTCTGATCTCCCCTATTTTTAAGTTGCCAACTCAGTTTCTCATGCTCCTTAATATAATCGGTCTCTTTAGTTGAATTTCTTTTGATTCTTAAAAACTGCCCCAAAAGGCAAGTTATATTTCATATGAGGGACATGGTAAGAGTCAAAGTGTAAATAACTTCTTATCTGTAGCTTTACTATAGCCTGTAACTGCTAAAGTTTCCACTATGGTCCTAAAGGCAGTGGTGTCTAGAAGGTTAATCTCCTGTTCATGATAATTACCACTAAACTTCAAAGATATGTGGAAGGTATTAATCCACATAATGAATTGCTCTGTTTTATTTTTGTTGTTAAATAAGATGAAAATGTCATTTATAAATCAAAAGTAAAGTACTATGCCATCTTTAACAGGGTTCACATTAAGGTCATAAATGAAAGTATCTTCAAAAGAGCTCATAAAGAGATTTGCTATCGATGGCGCGGCCGCGCTGCCTGTTGCCACTCCTCTGGTCTGTAGATAAAACTGCTCTTCACATGTAAAATATTTTTTCCCAAAAAAATTATATCTGTAATGTCCATCAAAAAATGGGGTGGGCAGACTCTGTGTATCTCGTTGTTCCAAAAGAGTTTCAATTATGGTCCTAGTGTCTTCTTACAGGATATTAGTCCTGTTTTTGATATAAAGTCTTTGGTGTAATGCCGAGGCGACACCCCTTCTTCTGCCATGCCCCGGAAGTGATGTCATTGCACTGCTGGCAGTATGCGGCACTCTGATATTAAGGCATAACTCTATGGTAAGAAACGGCTTCTACCACAGCGTTTCCGCCCAGATGCCAGCGCATGTCCTGCATTGCCAGCGCTGTGTGACCGTGTTGCTTCTGGTGAATCCCGGAAGTGACATCACCGCAGCACTGGGCCAGGCCGCCCCTTGAGGCCAGGAAGTCCCCTGCGCCGGTGGACCTCGCCACACTATCTGGAGAGATAAGTTGTAATTCTGAGGGATCGCCAGGCCCCAGCTGGAGGTTGTCACCCCTGCGTCTGCAATACGGGATGATGGTGATATCGGCCTGCTTCACAGAACTGTTGTACCCTTGCAAGGAGCAAATAATGTCTGTGGGGCCGCAATGCCTGGTCAGTTGCAGCCAAAATAAATGGCTCTCTTCAGGCACCTGAACAACTAATTTTGTTTTAGCACAAATGTTTGGAAAGCTGAAAGAGCAATATAAATGCTGGGGCGGTAGCCATAGTCGATAAGGGTGGACACGGGATCTGGGGGCCCAGTGCCACATCTGGAACACAGCTGGCAGGGGCCAAACCTGCTTCTTAACACTCCCCAGTCGTTAGGATCATCACTCGATCTGCCAGATGCAGTCTGCTTGGTGTACTAGTGGTTAAGTGCGTGGACTCTAATCTGAGAGAACCGGGTTTGATTCCCCACTCCTCCACTTGCACCTGGTTGGATGACCTTGGGCAAGCCGTAGCTCTGATAAGAGCTATTCTTGAAAAAGGGCAGTTTCTGTCAAGAGCTGTCTCAGCCCCACCTACCTCACAGGGTATCTGTTGTGGGGAGGGGAAGGGAAAGGAGTTTGTAAGCTGCTCTGAGACACCTTTGGGTAGTGAAGGGCGGGGTATAAATCCAATCTCCTCCTCCTCTTCTCCTTTGATGACAGACGGAAGGGCTGGGGTCTTGGGAAGGAGCAGTGGAAATGTGTCGTTCTCCATTTTATCCTCACATCCACCCTGCGAGGTAGGCTTGGGCAGAGTGAGCGACAGGCACAGTCACCCAGCAGGCTTCCAGTGGCAGAGCAGGGGACTGAGCCTGGGCCTCCTAGATCCTAGTCTGACCATGGCAATCACTACCCCACGCTGGCTGTCTTGAGCCTGATGTGTCTGCGTATAACAGATAGGCTCAGGTAATATATTTATTTACATCCCGCCTGTCTCCTTGAGACTGAAGGCAGGTTACAATGTAAGCCAGCACATCCAGGCCTGTAGCCTGAGTGGGGGGACTCTAAATAAGTCGGGCGTTGTGATCTGGCCGGGCAGGGAGCTGCACCGAGGAGGCGCCTCTGGCCACCTGGCCGGAAAAGTGCAGCCAGCCAGTCCTGCTTGGATTCAGGGCACCCTGAACAGACAGGCCAGCCCAAGGCCTGGATGCAAAGTCGTGGGGCCCTGGTAGGAAGGGGGGGGATCGGGCCCCAAGAGGCCCCACCAAGCGACAGGCCTGAGCGCCTAGGCAAAGCCAAGTAAGTTGACCTTTGATAAGCTAATTGACAAGTCTAGGATTACAGAACTCTGTGTGTGGGGGGGAAAGCATAAGTATTAGACGTGTGATGCTAATAATGCCGAACGGTGAACTGATACAGATAGAAAACAATGTAGTGAGAGCAAGAGGTTAGGAGCTTGGGGGTGCTCTTGG